TAGATAGATAGATAGATAGATAGATAGATAGATAGATAGATGACCTAAATGACTAGACGGAATATGTGCATGTGTGCCACTGTTGATTGCCACCAACCCAGGGTGAAAGGCCATCGCCAGTGGTCAAACAACGCCAAACCGTTGCATTCACACCCTGATTGGCATAATAATTACTGACACGGTAAAAGTATTCAAGAATGAAGACACCACATGAAGCCTAGTGATCATACCGGGATGAGATTCAGACAAAAAACGGAGGTGTATGGACGTAAAACCGATACTCACTGAATGTCCGTTCTGGTTTCGGAAAGTTCTCGAACCTAGCGATATGGTTACCGTAGTACAATGATCAAAGTGAATGTCGATAATCGTAATGGCAATTGACGAGGTGAACAGAAAACGATAATTGCGCAGAACACACACGTTTATAATTTTTTGTCCAAAAACCTAGTGTGGACACGCAAGGAGTCTATCGAGGGTGCAGTAAATCAGAGTATGATTGGGAAGGCTGAACAATGTACGACCTCATTGTGCAAAGTGACCCACTAAGAAATAACAAAAAGGGTGTGGTCAACTAGACAAACACTGGTCTCATTATGAATCCTTCCGTTTAAGCAGAATGTGTGTGGGGGGTGCCACTACGAAAGGTTTCTCACCCCCGCAGATAACGGACTGTCGTGGAGGCACACAACAGTACCGTTGTGGGGACATACTTAAGAAACGGGTGAGAATTTCGTTTCTTGGGGTAAAATAAGGTGTCTGTGTGTGTGTGTGTAATTTGAGTGAAAACATCAGTTGAGTCAACTCTAGCATTAACCGAAATAGGTATAGCTTCATTTGTCTCGGATGGTTTTATTGACCACCATTATTCCACACACTTACTGGCAAACATAGAGGTCCTAGGTTAACTGAATGGGATTGATGCTCATTGCACGAGAGAGAAAAAAGTGAGCGCGGCTGACGGTTCAGATTTTTCTTATTAACCGCTTGCTTCTGAGATCATTTCGCGAAATCGGCTGCGATGGTATCAGATAAAAATTACTGATACAAGACAAATTCCATTTTTTGCGGATAAACAACTGTTCCTTGTAATAGGTAAATATATACATTTGTGTCGTCATGTTGACGATAGCAACGTAAAACACATTTACGCTGTGGTCTAATCCTCGCCAAGCGAAAACATAATTCGATGTTAACTAAAGAAAAAGTGTAAAACCCGGAGCTACTGTAACAGGCTAAGTGTGGTTTGCTTCTTTTTTATTACACACCTAAGTGTGATGAACACCAGACGGGACGAACTCCTTGGCCACGGGCACCTGCTGCTCAGTGATGGAAACCGGCAACCGAAGCCCCAGGACTTGGAGTGGCGAACCACATAAGGCCCGACAGGTTAGGCAAATCATGGAACGTTTTTCTTTCTTTCATAAGGATTATTGTACCATGATTTGTTTAGCGCACAGCCTGGACTCAGACGTGTGAAAACGTTCTGACCGGAATACGCGCTCCACCATAGTACGAGGACAACACTTCCTTGAATTACTATCTTACCTTTTTCAGGGCAAATTCCACCGGAGGGAGGTGTCTGTAGGTATGAAATAGGTTTCATGCATAAAGTCTAGATGTGTAATAACGGCGGACTTCATTTGCGATCACTACTGACAAGCAATCAGCTGCTGAATATGGTTATTTGAAAGCCGTTCTAATTTCTACGTCACAACCGAAAACCGTCCAGAACAATAAATAGCACAGATCTGAGAATGCGGTGCGCAACACACACACACGCACAAACACAGACACGCATACACACTTTATTGTTCTCCTCCGAACCCCTAGGATTTTTCCCCCATATAAACTGTAATAGCATGATTATGAGTTATTGAAAACAATTGTTCGCCTGAACTTGTGTTCTAAATAGCTGTTTTGTTCGCAATAAGTATCAGTAGTGAATATTAATCAAGACCTTAACGGTTGAAACCCAAAAGGAAAATTTGTGGATCCTACACAATACCAGCAGACCACTCTTTACTCTTGCAACCACAATTCAAATGAATTCTCTACCTTCTCTTTGACTCTGCTCTTAACATTCTAATCTTTCGTCTGCTCTTTTATCCGAATGGGTAGCCAGAAGACAGTAACCAAAACCGGTGCGAGAACCTGCAACGGTAATGGTTGCAAAAAACCGATATGAACTGAACAAGGAATGGCTCCACAGACGGTAGAACACAACCAACGAAACGTAAGGAACTAACAATCCAGTATACCTTAGTTCCCATAGTCCTAGAGTTTACCGAATTGCTCTGAGGACAATTCTGAGCAAAAAGGAAAATTTGTTGTCCAAGGCATGAAGGACAACTTTCGAAATGAAACGGTTTGGAAACATTGTTTGAGTACGATCATTACCTTATACCAGACACCTCTCACTTTGTTCTCATAATTTGCAGCTTAGTCCCTTATTATCATGTGATATGTCGTCAGCGGTGAAGACCGAGCTTACGGTGGATTCGATTAGTACAGGTCCCGAGACTGTGGTGCTTATCGCTGGTGGACTGTAAACGATTAACGGTCAGAATAATGCGAAAATTACTCCTGACTGGGAACTTATGACCAAACTGACATACAAGCACACTCACCTTTCAACCTTGAACGGCGTGTACATAAAAATGAAGCAAAGTAAATATCAAAAGAAACTCGACCAAAGTACACTACGAACAATCACCAGTCAACAGAGTTACGATCTAGTACGTACCGCTGGGTAGTTTTGTTGAGTTCAGAGTCCATTTGGATGAACCATTGGAGATGGTCGCAGATTTTGTGTACAATGTGCACAATCCTGTGCGAAGGGGTGGTCGAACCGACATGGTCGTAGATGGATAAGTGATGGAAACTGACCGCATCGCAGAGCCAACAGTTGGATTTGATTCGGGGGAAGAGCATTCAAACTTGACATCCGTTGGAGTGGGAGCAGGATTNAAACAGAATCAGTGTTTTGGGAAACGGATTGGCTGTTCTGAGTATCGGAATTGTGTGCACAATCGCTCAGTTTAGACTGAAGGCCATCGAGCGCATTTTCCAGCTGGAGGCAACGAAGACGCCATTCTTCATTTTGACGCCATAGGTGATGGTTTTCGCGTTTTAACTGTTCATAACGCATTTCTAGCCGTTCTAAATACTGTGGAGGACATTTACAGATTGCGAAAACAGAAAATAATGGAGGGATAATGAAGCACGAAAAGAAAGGAAAAACGTGTGGCGCAGAGGTACAAGCTGAACGGCGATCTGTTTATGAACCGATCGATACCTGACTGAGTGGGAACATAATTACTCTGAGAAAATTATTTAATAAATGGATTCGAAACCTCAATTGTATTTGGAACATCCATCTCCAATGAACGAGTTCACCAAAAAGAGCATATTTCTGGATGAAATTGAAATGGGCCTCTAATTCGAGCGCTCTTATTCATCTGTAGAATTACCCATACAAAGAAAAAATGGGTGAGAAAGAATCATTATTTCGGTGGAGGGGGGGTAGAGATGATCTCGTTTGGTTATGAGGTGAGTGTCACAAACATCGGCGCTTGTGTGTCTACTTCTTAGTTTTGCAAGTCTACATGAGTTCTCAATCTCTTTGACTCCGCTCTCAACATTACAATCTGCATTCTGTTCTTCTACTCAAATGAGCAGCAAAGGAGAGCAACCAAAACCGGCGCATGAAAATACATGGTGAACGGTTGTAAAAGCTGAAACTGAAACGAGGCAAGACCAATCATAGAACCCAATAAAAACGATAACAAGCAAGGAACACAGACTGAATCCGGACCCTCAGGTTGGGTGCAAGAGGAGATCAACCACATGCGACAGAGCTGTTTGGTGTAACGCAACCACCATACAACAAGAGTTGTGCCACAAAGGCTTCGAACACATAAAGCCTTATTTTTTCCGAATCAAGTAGTGTCTTTCAAATCCTCTACTGAAGAATTTCTACAAGATGGTTTACTGTGGCGCGAATGGTTACACTAAAACGAGGTATGTAATAGGAATTACCCGGGTTAAAAGATGGGTTGATAAGCCGCGAGCAGATAGTCCATCTACGGGAAATTGAAAATTCCTTTATGTGAATTGCTATGCAACAGATCTTGATGCCGGTAAGTTCCAGGTTTTCTGGACAATTTTAGCTTTTTATGCTCGATGCATGAGGTTTTATCTCTCTGAAATAGCTTGGACTGCAAGTAAGGTAAGGTACAATAGGAGATAACCTCGCTTTTGCCGACCCAGAGCATGAAGCCGAAGCGTTCCACGAAAGACTATCGGGCTAGAGGATTTGTATGTTTGTCGATGATTACACATTCTATTTGACACTATCTCCCGTGAGAGTTTGGTTGGTTTTGATTGTGGAAATTGATCCACCGTGGACAGGTGAATTTCTCGAACGATATGCGAGAGGTATGGAAAGGTGTAACATCAACATTATTGTTCTCCTGGTATAATCTGTGTTGACCATAGAGGTTCGCTTCCTTTCCCGTCCCTAAAAATAAGTCCAATTCCTATGCTCCTTACACATTCTCATTTACCTTGGATGCATTATGAGTTTAACAGCGATCACTGAAGTTTGCTTTACTCTATTACGCTGTACATTGATAATGATAATAACAGAACGACAATTACTCAGTAAACAATCAGAAATTCCTTTTCCAATTCAATTGGCAAGACTTGTAGGACAGCCAATACACGACACCCTGCATCTGACCACATCCGTAAAATATAAGGCAGGAACAAATGAAACGCAAGGATCGTCCGGGAAAAGAAGACTTGTGGTGCGCTGTTATTTGTAGGTTCCAGTTTGACAAACAGCGAAGCAAGACACAATGGTTTGGACTTCATTTCGCACTTTAGCGTGAGTTTGATATTGGGATGAAAGTGGTCAGACATTTATTGGCTGAGTGCAACAACAGCGGTAAAGTAGGGCTGAATTGGAATATGCTCCCCGCTTGCTTTCTACTACTGACATAGAGATACCACTCAGAATTGGTCTTAGGGGCCGTTCCATCGCTATACTATCAGCTTCGTCAACCACTATGTATGTTTGTGTCACAGAGTCCGCCGTTGGCAGAATTGGTTGTAACAGGACGTCCGCGTTGCGCAATTTCAGTGATCAATACATTGTGGTGTACGAACACTGAGATCGCGGTCTGATAAGCTTGTGCCAAACATACTTTCCTCAAGAAATCGAATTGCTTTTTAGTTCCATTCTTTGTACATAGTTTCAGCTATACGAGAGCACGCGGACCGGGTACTAAGTACCAATTTTCCCAATTTTCTTTTGATAAGCCATACTTCTTCACTTTTAATATCTTGGTCAAATACCAAAAATCTTGTTCTGTAGAAAAATAAAGACAATGCCACGCATTACTTTTCAATTATTGACCTTTGACAATAGACGTGGGTGCTCAATGAGTATGTATTTTCTTTTATATTTTCATTGTCCATCCTACTCATACGAGCTAGCATTCTCTATCGAGGCCCAGGTTACTGGTTTTCCCCAGTTTTGTTCATCACAATATGATATGCAACAACCATCCTCAAAGGGTTTCATTGTGGAAGTTGTTCGACGTGTTTAGGCAACACTCAGCAAACATAGGGGGTGGTCATTGTTAACAAATGGAATATTAAACTGAACAGAATACTCTCGCATATTTCCTATTGATAATTATCATTACATGGAGCGGGGAGGGCGAACGACATCCCGAGGGTAATCAGTGGTATCTAGTCCTTAGTTTTGAAGCGGTGGAGTGCATAATGAACGACGTTAAGTCGAATGTTCATAGTGTCGCCTTATACATCTATGAAATCAGTTAGAAACCACACGTAGGTTAGCTTAAATGAACTACACAGGATTTTCGATCAATTGAAAATTTCAATCTTCGTTTTAACAGAGTACGTAAAACAAGAACTTCAACATTCAGATCGATTACTGATTATATCCAGAAGCCTTATTGGTGATCATCGTTACGACTCATTACGCCACTAGGCTAATAAATGGGACCAAAAAACGAATGAACGTTTTACTTTTTACCATGCTATCATCGTCTATTCTTCGCTGATATCTCTCTTCCAGCCGGATCTGGAGTTCGGAATAACTTGTCAGAATAGGGACACTGAACCGGTATCCGTGAAACTCGCAAAAGCTTTTCTTTCAAATGTGACTGTCCGTAGCTACCTGTCGGTGTCGTACATTGCTGTACTTTAGGGCGACTGAATTCCGAGAAGGGATAAACCCACTTCCACGATATCCCGAATTACGGCCACCCACGTTTGGTTGTCAAACAGGTGGAAATAGAATAACGGTAGGCAAACCGCTGTTCGCATCAGTGTAACAACACTACTCGCATGACTATCCATTCGGTTGAGTGAATAAATATTTTCGGACAGTAGCTATGATAGAGGTGTACCACTTAAACAAAACACTGAGACTACTCCGGTGTTTGTATCCCTAGGTGATCTCGAAGCGTTTGGTATTCTCCGGTTCGATGAATTTATGGCCCGAAAGATGTGGTACACGTTTACTTTCAAGTTCACTCCTGGTACAATATCATCTACTATGCAACACAAATATGATGAAATTTTGTCACTAACGCGTCCTGCAATAGGCCGACAAAGCGCCCGATGTGTACTTAAACGACACATCGTTTGGAATGGGTAGTCCCATAAAGTGTCTAATTAACTGAGTTAACGGCTACTCCAAAATCCGGAAAAATGAATCTGCTCTTGACGTGCGGTAGGTGGGATAAACAGTGTTGATTTCATCGATACGCAGAATTGAAACTTCATCTACTGCTCTTCACTAACTGTTTTGAAACAATCTGCATACGACAGTGGATACCAATTGTCGTCATTCTACTACACAAAATAACTTGCCCTGATAGACACGGACGGTTGGTGAACGTCCGAATATCGGAACAAAAATTGAAATTTTCAACTTGCTAGTTGCAAATTATGCAACGGGCCTAGATGAAAATCTCCTCAACTTCTGCAACACTTTATTACAATCTCACGAGCCCAAGTCAATCGATATGACACAGCCGAGGAGACATTTGAGCATGAGCTTGCAAAGGGGCGAGGTTTTATGTTACATCTTCGGGAGCCATTTGACTTTGAAAAGGGTTGACAAAATTTTAGCTTCCATATCTCAAGGTTATCGAACAAGAAAAAGGTGGCCTAGACAAGACGATCACCACGGACAACTGCATTGCACTGCAGGGAAGTGAAATTGAACTGCATTAACTGACTAAAACCATGTCCAGCAGACAGTGGTTTTGTGTGGATTGGACCTCGAAGTCACGAAGAGAAATGAAGAAGGCAACAGGGAGGTGGTGCTCAGGTGGTGCTGGTCAAGTCAGTCAAGTCAGGAAAAGCGTTATGCACCCAAAAGATGAATTTTCAGCAGTGTTAACGTCACCTATTTATCACCTCAGAGAACGCATATTCCAATCCTACCACAACAGCCTAACTTGCCCTATTGTTTGTCGTATGGGAATCTTTTGATTGGCCGCTTCCTCCTTCCTGAAACTGTATCATTATGCGTTCAATGAAAGGAAGTAAAATTGAAAGAGAGAAAAAGCCCATGAAAAAAACTAAGACAGGAGGGTGGAGCAGATGTTGCTAAAAAAATACACATTCGAAAGACCTTACTGAGACGAAGATTCGATCACAACACAAGGCGGGCAAACAATGTCGTTAGTTACCTCTTTCTTCCGAAGTCGACTCATACTAGCCGCATGTCGATTTTTAATCATACGTTCCTGTTTCTTCCGGATTCGTTCCAGATGAGCGCGAGTGAGCAAACAATCATTGGGGCTAAAATTATCCGACGAGCTCACATACGTCGGACTGGACGGAGAGAGACTGGAACAGTCCGAACCTTGAATCGACACCATACCAGGTTGGAGGTGTTTTAGAAATGAGCTGCTGGAATTTCGCAACTGAAAACGATTCAAGAAGATGAAATTAGGTAAAACACCAATTACGCGCATCGTTCTGTCTGAATGATGAGAAAAATTGGCGAGGATGATAAAAGTCAACACACAGGGTGTTTTATGGATAAAGCGACCCACATCACAATCAAATTGTAGGTGATAATACTAACGGAGACAGACAGGAAATGATTAGGATTAAACCGCTAATGGTGATGAGAACAGTGGACGTAAAATCCAACATTCAGACAATTTTACCCAGTAGCGAAAAGCGTGGTGGTGGCTATTCAATACGATAATTGCAGAGGAAGGGAGAAACTAATTCTCCATTCCATAAGTCAGATTGAGAGGATGATTAAATACGCACTTTAATAAACTTCGTATCTGTATAGCCGAGTTGTCCAAGGCGCTGACTTTAGACACCAGTCCACAAGGGCGCGGATGTGAATCCCACCCATATCAGCAAACTTCAGAGTGGTGGAGGTAGATCGGTTAAAATCACTGCCACTAGCATGCTTTGAGTCTTAAGGTTAGAGGCTCAAACACTGCGACCGTCAACTATTTCTTGTTAGTGGGCAGTATCTCTGTCGATTGGTTCCATACTAAGCCTATCCTACTGAGGCCTCTTGCGGTTCAACAATCCAAATCCCGGGGTTTAAACTGTCGGTTGTCGAGACAGAGAACAGTGCATTCTCACGACAATGATGACTATCGGTTTTACTGATCACATCATGGTGTGCAATCACAAAAGATGAGTGCTACTCACTAGGTGTTTTTCAAGGGATGAATCTGAATACACGACTGGATCGTATTCTTCCAAGAAAGTCCCCACATCAGAAGAATCGGGAACTAGAGATAAGTTTTGATCATCTACAAATGAGAAAGTGGAGAGTAAAACAATTAATTTGTGTAATCCAGATTCGATGAAGCGCACGCGATTAAACAGTCAAAAGAAACAAAAATAATCAGGATTATTTTCTGTTCTGCGAGAGTTCATCCATGCTATATCAAACATCAGATCTCAAATACTTTCCATAGTTTGACTATGGGTAAAGTAATCACTTCCTAGGTTTGCTCAGCTGACACTCTCCCCAGGGAATGAAGCCACCATTATTCTCTCGACGATCTCAAAGCAGTCAGATCAATGAACGTCTTACACACCCGCACAGTGAATTCTCAGTAGAATGCGAATTTGTACAATACATATACCTCGACATGAGAATTTGAAAAGTGGGAAATAAAATGAACACTGTAGTGCAAGTAACAATGGGCTATACGATTAAATAAGGGAAAGAATGGTACTGTTTCTCTTCGTGGGTGTAGGTGCATTGAGGATTTGGAGTTTGGAGTACACATGGGCATTCGATAAAGTTTTCATGATTTCGTGATGGAGACAGTGCTCTTTATCATCAGTTATTTCATCAACCGAAGTATCATAAGTACTGAAAGGCTTTAAAACACTGTGAAAAGGGCAATGGTTTAGTCCCTGTCACTGAAGTGCTTCGGATCCTATGGCTCTAGATACGAACCACGGCACCGTCACCCAGTTTTGG